CGGTACTAAAATAGACAAAAATTCGAGGCCTCATTTCGGCCCTGGTCGTATGCCGCCAAAAAGGTGGCTGCGAGGTCAGTTCCCGCGATACCCCTCCGCGGCAGGTCAATCCGGGTCTACCCCCCCTGAACGGTCGGAAATGACAGTCCCGAGACATGCCGAGTCCGGTCACCCATCTCGCCATCTTTGAGCGTTACTCATAAAGCTCAGTGCGCCCAAAATCAGGGGTGCCCTGAGTTCCCCTAATTTTTGCTGCCTGGTCATACGAGACTACCATAAAAAAACGGATTTGTCCCTGAGCCTAAGCCCCAAAACTGCGGATCTCAGGCGGCGCACTGCTTGTGGCCGCCTGACACCGGTACGACCTCGATGTAGCGGTCGATAAGTTGTTGCGTCCTTCCGTCCGCCAACTTGATCGCCCTCGGGTTTGCCTTCCTTCGAACTTGTGCACCAAGGCCAACCCTTTGCATAAAGGCTTGGCTCATAAAATTGTGAGACGCGCCACTACCCAGCAAAGCGCTGCAGGACACTTGCCCAACTTGGATGCGTACATAGAGGAGCGGTGCATTGTTGTCATCATACCGCTGATTGCGAAACGCGCGGGCCACCTTGGTAACATACGAAAGGATGTCCCCCACCGCGACTTCGTCATCCGTCGGCGAAGTTGGTGGTGCATAAAAGGATAAGTACGTGTGAAGATGAGCACATAGTGTTGCGCATTGCGGTCCCCGCAAGTGGCCCGTGGTCGGGAGAGGAAGCCATGCGAAATCCCTGGACGTGAGCAGGTCCAATACCTCTATGTTCAACTCACGCGTCGAATCCCATGAAGAACCACTTGAAGACGATAACTCGCCGTTGTCGGACAGAGAAGATGCCGCACACACGTCTTGTCCTTGAGCTTGAGTACCCAGCATAGGAACAAGTCGGGCAGCATAGAACGAGCCGGGCAGCATAGTCCTCAAAAGAATAAAGAAGAGGAGGACTATCGACTTCCGCATGTGCCTCGGAACGAAGGGCGGTCACCCGCGAAGTGACCGGTTCCAAAGGCGTCGAGAGTGTCGTCGAGTCACTCCCAACGGTGGTCAGTTTCCCAATTTGTTCTTGCCTTTCGACTGGCAGGCCACTGTCTCATGGAGATCGTTGTTGCACCATAGGCAATAGTGGAATCCCGTGTGTGCTTTGAATGCTGATTCTGAGATACCGTAATAGGACCATGGGGCTTGAGCTGTTGCGCCGGGCCCAGGGCTAGATGCGGTGTTTGTCTTCGCCTTGCCGCGTCCTCGGCCTTTGCTGGGGCGGCCACCTTCCCGGGCGGCTGCGAGTCTGTCCCCTTCATTGGCAGACACGGCCTCGCTAGTTTGGTTGTTTGGCGTTGCCGCCACGACCACGACCACTTTCGGCCGATGCCGATCTCTACTCATGCTTGCCGCAAACGAACGCGGGAGATTCTTGGCCTCCTTGTTCGTGACAATAATTTGCCGGCCTTGTCAAAAAGTTTTGCCGGTGTCAACAGGGTGTCCTCGACGTGAGTCAAGGAATTGCCCAACGTCGGACACGACCTCGAGATGAAGTAGTGTTTTATGGCTTTGAAGCCCATTTGGATGTCTAGGACGGATGCCAAGCGTTGGTACTCGACAATCTAGTCAACACTCGGCAACGTGCCTTGTTCGAAAACCATCAGATTGTCCATTGCCTTGATCTCCCATGACTCTACTTGGAACCTCTTATGCCACGCCGCCTTCAGATCATCCCAGTTGATCTTGGTATGCAAGTCGGCAGCTACCACTCCGTACTTGGACAAGAGATTGTCCAACCATGCTTGGCATGCGCCCCCCAACCGGGAGTACAAGTACCCGTGGTGCTTGTGTTCTTTGACGTAGTGTAGCTGCAGTGTGAGCTCAAACTTGCGGAACCATGAAATCGGATCTGTCTTCATCGAGTCGCAGAAGATCTCCTGCCCGTCGAACTTTGGAGCTGTCTCGCCCAGTTCCGAGCTCGAGTGGTTGGCAGCAGTACAGATCCGCTGCTCCAACTGTTGCGTTGCGGTTTGGTGTAACTGCACGCCGTCCTTGAGGGAGCCAACGTCAATCTCCAATGCCTCAAGGCGATCGGAGGTGTTGGAAGAGCTGACAACGGGGGCGGCGACAGGTCGCTGCTCCAGTTGCTGGAGGCTGGCGTGGACTTGAGTCAACGCGTCGTCGAGGGTGTGGATGTCCTCTTGCTGTGTAATGCATGTTGCCAGGAGGTCCGTGAGATGGGAGAGGAGTAGAGCGATCTTGTTTTCACTATCTTCCATCTTGTCATTCTCGGCCTCGCTCCGCCAATCCGCTGCCATTGTGAGCAAAGCTTGCTCTCCGCTGAATATCTTCTCGCGACGTTGGACTCGTTCTTCATCGGCAGCCTTTGCTGCTGCCTCGTCGTGTTGGCGCTGCTGTTCAATTGCCAACAGATGTGCCTTCTCGGCGCCCTTTGCCTTCTTCTTTGCATCCGACCGTTGCTTAGCTTCTGTAATCAGAAGCAGCATCCGGGCCTGATAGGCCTCGTCCGTTTCCCCGGACTTCTGGTCCATAATGGCTGTTTGCGAGCGCGTGAGCATAGACCAGGTTGGGGGCCTGCTGACGTGGTACTCCCTGCTGCAGACGTGGCACTGTTGTCGGCTGATGTGGCCTGTTGACGTGTCCTGCTGACGTGTCCTGCTGACGTGTCCTGCTGACGTGTCCTGCCGATGTGGCAACTCACCAATGCCGCCGCAGGGGGTACCCGAAGACAGATAGAGAAGGTAAGACCAGAGGGGGCAACAACATAGGTGGGAAGGGGTGGGTGGGATAATCGCCCAGATAAGGAGCCACTAATCAAAAAGAAAAGTTTGAACTTCGCAAAAAAAAAAAAGTTTCGAGAAAATAAAAATCCCGAGTTTTGCAAGTTTCGTAGGTCTCCCAACCTCCCTTGACGTGCGAAAGTATCAATGAGAAAATTTTTTGAACTTCTAACTGCCAATGATTATCACGTAGTGAAAATCATAGAACTGCGAATAAAAAAAAAATTCCGAAAAGAAATAACAAGTATTCGGACTTACTCAGATGAGAGTATTCGCAGTTTGGAAAATGGTACTGCAAGAGGGATTTCCTGTACCGTTTTATGAAAAACGACTTTCGAGACAAATATTCTGAATTTCCAAATAACGGGAAATTGCAAAAGGAGATCGAAATTTTCGAGAAAAAGATATTTCGGATTTCCAACAACGAAATTTCGGATTTTCACAAGAAAAACGAAAATGGAAATTTCAGATGTTGCACTATTGTGATTTTCCACAACAGAAATAGCGAGAAAACGAAATCCAAGAAAAGAAAAAAAAAATTTGATTTTCGGCAGTGAGGTCAAAATCATGATTTTGGGGGCTAACTAGTGTGCTCTAATCAATCAATCAAGACTAATCAGCTACCTAGTCCCCGCACACGTGTCATATCAGGTTGTCCTGATTCACGTGCGGTGCTCCGATACCAAGTGTTACATGCCCAGTTGGGCGATGTACATATAAACCGAGGATCCGCAATGTGATAAAAAGGACTGAATGGACAATTCAGTGCAAGTGGAATCTCGACAAGCAATGTGCATTCCAATACATACAAAATGGTGTTTTACAGCGCAGTGGAAGATTGAGATACAAGTCCTGACCTGACTGGGACTGGCCTCTTTCACGTAGTACAAGATAGCGAAGCACGATGCTAGAATACTACTGACTAGCCCAATCAATGTTTCAACAGACCAAACGTACATCATGCTCATCACAAGGTGTGAAGGGGCCTGGCGCTATACACAGGAAAGAGGCGCCAGGTCCAGACATACACAGACGAAGAGGAGGGGATAAGACGAAGAAGAGGTCGGGGGAGATGGGAAAGTCGTCAACAGCGAGTCTCATTACAAGTCCCAAATAATCCCTCTTCGATATGTCTGAAGTCCAATGTCGAGTCTGGATCCAAATGTCACCAAACTCTCTCTCTCTCTCTCTCTCTCTCTCTCTCTCTCTCTCTCTCTCTCTCTCTCTCT